AGTATTTATAATTATTTGTTTAATGTCATTTAAAATAGAAAAATCAAAATTACGTAATATTATTGTACTTGTACATACATGTACGTCTGGTTTCAGAATTCAATTATTATATTTTTTTTCACTGCTCATAGAACAGGTTTAAAGCTGCCTTATCGGTCCATAGGGACAAGACAAGGTGCTATTGTTAAACACCTAGAAAAGAAAGAACAATGTTAGCAGCATCAAGCAGCACAGATTTCTGCATTAGGCGGTAAGTATTTTCAGGTATTCCAATTAATTTTAATTGTTCTTTCAGGTTGACCGGGATAATTCCAATAGCTGAAACAATCAAGGGGACTACCTGGACCGATTCCATTTGCCATATATTTTTTATTTCTACTCTCAAATCTTGATATTTTGTAATTTTTTTCTGTAAACTTGCTTTGTATATTGTTGTTGTTAGGAATAGAAATATCAATTAGTAAAACTGTTTTTTTAATTTTATTTATAAGCTTGATGTCCGGTCTGTTACTTCTAACCGAGCTTCTAACGGTTTTATTTGTTAAGATTGGTTTATCCCACTATATCTTGAAACTATTATTTTCGACTACGGGTGGTGGATGATATTTGTAGTAGGGCTCTTGGATTTCTCGGTCAATGTTGAAGTGTTTGATGATCTCCAAGTAAATGATCGATGCGACTCTGTTGTGTCTTTCCAGATACTTTGTACTCGCCAGGTTACTGCACCCTGATAAAATGTGTTCTATGTTTTCACTTCCAGAATCATCCATCTACGGCACCTGTCTGATATATTCTCCTTTAGGATGAGTTTCCGGTAGTTACGTGTTGGAATCACTTGGTCTTGCATAGCCACTATGAATAGTTAGAAAGTTATTAGAATAGTTAGAATATAGTTAGAGATAACCCGATCTTAACCAGTGCAATGACGCCGGCTTTTCAATGCGATGTTGATCTAGCTCATTTGAGTACCGTCCGTGTAAATCCTTCGCTCACCATGTAGCTATTTTATTAGTGATTGATGAGGGAGTTGGAAAAGCATCATATTATTTACTATTGAGGTTCAAGGGGGTGTATTTGACATCAGCTGAAGACACAGTGACGTAAAGGTCGTTGCTGTTGGTGTAAAAGTATTTTCTGAGGCTCTTTATTTGCTCCCGACAGATATTAACAACATAAAAGTAAACCTCTACCTCCAAGATGTCGAGGGAGGGTCACCTGTTCCCTAGCGCTTCTTGGTGGTGATTTCTAAATTTGGTTAAGGTTGTTCATACCAGGCGATTTAGGGATTCCAAGTCTGTATGGGTCCATTTGACTATTTCAAAAAAATATGTCAGAACCGGTAGGGCGTAATTGTTTATTGCTTTAAAGATGTTCTTATAATTCAAACCTGTCTTTAGTAGGGAGCTGAGTCGATAGGCGGTTTTTAGTAATTCCATGTTCTATTTTGTGTGTTTGTAACATTCCAAGGTATTTATAGGGCTCAGTCGAAATTAAGGAGATAATATTTTTCTCATCTAGGTTCAATTATGGTGTTTCACATAGTTTTCCTCTTATGATTGAAACAGTCTGACATTTGCTGGTACCAAAGGTCATTCCAATATCTGCGCTGATTTTATGAACGGTATGCAGACCTGAGGTTGAGGGAGAATATTTTCAAGATTTTTTTGTAAAATATCAGTGCATATCACTGCGTAGAATCTAAACCAGCTTGTCAGTGTTTTTTTAGAGGCCCCGAGAGGGGTAAGGAAAATAAAAAGTGTGGTATTTTTTTTAATTATTATCTAAGAAAAATGAACGTGAACTAAAATAAAAGACCGTTAGAGTCTTGAATGCTGAGTCTTGTATAAGTCTTACACTTAGTGGAGTGCTTTAGCCCTTATGGGATACAAACCTCGGAATTTATTTACTGTGAACGATTTTTTATAAAAAAATTTGCATTGTATTGTTAATAAGATATATTACAAAGTTTACCCATTTAAATTCATTGCTTTCACTTTAGTATTTAGATAAACACACATATACAAATGCATCCATACAAGATGGCTCCGTATTCCGCAAAAGCTCTGTATCATTTGATGTATCTGTATCATTGATTCCTATATGAGATTTTTACTCCAAACCTTTTACAAAATATGTATTTAATGGTAGTTGACATTTTAAAATTATTTTTATAGATATACAGGGTGAGTCAAATATATATCTATATTTGTTTAGTTTATTGAATTTGCTATAAAATTGCAGTTCCAAAAATACCTTAATACCACTAAGTGGTTTTTGAATTATGGCCATAACCATGAGGACGTCAATCTAGACGTCCAGGAACCTTCGTATGAGAACTTCTAATCGAGACTATCGATTTATTGTATATATTGTATATTTGCCAGCTTTTCAAATTGATAATGAATTGCACTTGAGAGACGTACATATTAATTAACGGACTATAAGAAGAAGATTAAATGAAGCAAATCTTATGCTTCGGGACCAGAAATAACTAGATGTTTTGGCTAAGCCCAAAAGCAAAGGCATGGTCTTAATGTAAAAAATATGAAAAAATGTTAGTCTCTTCTTCAAAAGCGAATATTTCCAACAAAAATAAAGCTAATGAGATGAACCAAGAAACAAACCATCGAGAAAGGATGTATCTAGATGATATAATGATTATTAAATCTCTTGGGGTTTTGCCATATTCCACAGGGTATTTCAAACTTTCACCAAAATATCAACATTTTGTTTTCCCTCGTATAATTAACAGATGGGGAGTTTCATTTTTAATTTAAAAAAAGATACTAAAAAGTCAAATAATTTGGCTACACACTGCTTAAAAAATGATCAAAATCGGCCCATTAAAACAAAATATATTAACCTTTAAAATACATCAAACATGCAGTCCTCGCCCGGTCAATAAAAGAGCTACCTAGGGCAAACATCGGCCCCCTGTTCACAGGGTTCGCATAGGTGGCCATAACCATGAGTGCTTCGTCAGAAGAACAACATACCATCTTATCATGTTATTTTATTTATTGTATATATTGTATGTAGCACCTTTTTATTGTATTTAAGGAGACATTCTCAATAAATGATTTGAAACTTGAAACTTGGTTCTCGATATATCATCGAAGTTAAGCGACGTAAAACGGTGTGAGTGGATGGACGGAATACTTCTGGAAACTCTGTCATGCTGCTGTTCCATGGCAAGAGTGTAAAATCTATTGACACGCACTGCTCATTCGCGCTAGTTCGAGGACACATGAGATCGGATATATCGTAAGTAAAAGTTAATTTGGACATAAATTGGGGTAGGCCATTGACCAAGTAGTCCCGTCCAAATTAGCCTCAGCAGCAAAAACGATCTGTTAACTCCATTTTGAGCTTTGAATGGAAGAGATACTACATTTTGACAGAACTTTTTTTCATTATCATTAAACTTATTTACTAGTGTCAAGACATGTGTTTTATTATTAGTAAAAATTAATAAGTAATTTTAGTTTTTAAAACTTAAGTATTTTTACTGAGTAGAATATAAACGGGAACCAAGTTCTCAGTGGCCTTTGACAGTGCTGCAAGCCCACAGTAAACATAAGTCTTTTTTTTGTTAGATTTTAATGATTTAATGACTTAAATCATTAAAATGATTTAAATCATTTGATTCAGTATTCGAAAACTAAGATTTTAACATTTTTTAATTGAAATGTAATTTAATCATTAAAAAAGGCTTAAAACTTTTAAAAAAAGTGTTTTTATGATAAATTTTTAAGCAGCACTTCTTCTTAAACTGTTAAGCGGCAGCCAGGCAGCAGACATAAAAACAACAATTAATACCACTAGCAAATAGAAAGTTTGTTTTCAGAACAATTTTTGATTTTTTGTTGTGTTACGCATGAGTCATGAATCTGTTGTCTTTCAAGTGAACCAAGGGAATCCCCGACTCCGTTATGTAGTCCGAAATAAGAACGAAAAAAATGATCTCGTTTATATTGAAGAGTACCTACCTTAAAATCCTCCATCCTTAGCTTGTTCCATCGACTTATTACTTATTATATGTGATCGAAAAATTTTTATGGATATATTAAAAGTGCTACTAAATCGGTTACATTCTATAAGTAATTCTGTAGTAATACTGAAAAATAAACGTTATAAGTATTTTATGTTTTTAGTTTCATATGTATCTCAATAAATTAATAATATAGCAAATAAAGAAAAATCTGCAATCGGTTATAAAAGAAAATTTATATTAATATCAAATTTATATGCAATCGATTTGGTTTTAAATTGAATTTTGGCTGTCTTTACTTGACCGCAATTATTCTAATTTTACTCATTTTCCGACTAATACCCAGATCATCATGGTTTAAATAAAAATATTGATTTAAGTCATAAAAACGAAAATGACTGCACTTCAAAAGTAAATTATTTAAGTTTTTTTGACTCGGGCTTGCTGCAGCTCTAGCTTTTAAAAACAAATTTGGCTAACCAACAAAAAATGATTAACGTTTCAGGGGGTATATGGTATATGACCCACCGTCGTTAAAAACAAAAAAAATGAATATAAAGAAAAAATATTTAAAATGTCTAAATATAACTACTCAGGCTTTTGGGACAATTCAATTGATTTTTTTAGTGGAAATATTGAGTGCTGCATGTGATTCGAAAATGTCTGTAAAGAAAATTAAAAATGACATCAATAAAACTTGCCAATTAACAATGTCAACACTTTACAAAAAAATCAAACAAATCAATTAGGAAATTATTTCGAACGCAGACACGAAACACTGCACGAGATCCCAACCAACTCCATTCAACTTCATTTAGATTTATTTGCGAATATACAATAATGGCACCGCAACTCTTCTTCACCATCGGCGACGTCAATACAACATCCCTCTCTAATGAAGACATCAATCGCGCCCGAGTCGGCACGCCACTGCCGTGCCCCCACCACCCGTTCTTAAATTCTGTGCCGTGGTCCTTCTTGAGCCTGATTATTGTAGTCCGTACCGAGCCATAGAGTGCGACACTGAGCCAGTGCCGTACGTTTGTCACTCTGCGCCCAAGTAGTACCGATAGTATCGCGATCTCCTCTCGACGACACCTCAGTGCCGTGCTATATACCGTGTGTATTTATTTAGATTCGCTCTCGGAAAGACCAAGAAACGGAGGGCGAATTTTTGATTGAGATAATATAAACTTTGACAGTGGTTTTGTATTTTTTTTAAGTGGACTTAATTTTGTTGTTAAAGTGATTTGTAAAGATTACCGACCTTTTGTTATTCTTTCTGTTGATAATGGACTATCTTAGTGTGAGTATGTAGTAACTAGTTTGACCCTGATTGATTTTATACATAATACATAATATTGTTTTTTTTTACTTAACTAATTCTGTATAATGAAATAAAGATAATTATAAACGAATTCAATTTTATAAACAACCATTTACTCAATTTATGTACCATATAGCTATAGATATTTTAATATCTCTGTTACAATGAAGTACCTTAGCTGCATACAAAACACGAACCTTGAGTTTTTCATATAGTACATAAAAATTATATTTCCACTTCCAGTTTAATCGATAGAACTTTGTTTATAATTTTTACATGACGCCCTGTATATTTTTAGAATATTTAAAATTAATTTCCAATTATTATTATAAAGGGTGTATTATCACAAGCTGAAGTTTGCTTTGAAAGCGTATTTTTTATATTTTTGCTGACCGTATCGATGATTTGAAGCAAAAAAAAATATGACCGAAAGCAAATCACCGAAACGAGATTGATAGATTGCCCTAATGGAAAATTGCCCGAAACGATAATTCCCCTAATAACATTTTACCGAATAAGAAAATTGACCAAAAAATTGCAATAATTGTCATGTCATTATCATTACACAATTTCTGTAAAGTTATTTATGTAAAAATTAAAGTATTTATTGTGCGTATCATATTCCGAGTATAAACATGTAGATTGCAAGTCGAATTTGTAATCAGTGAAAAGGGAAAACAGAAACTGTTACTCCAGAGTTATCTGTATCAAAAAACAAGGGTGAATAGTTTTATTTAAACGTTGTTGCATGGTTTGGTTCGATTTTTATTAAATGCCCTGTATTATAGAAATATTTTACAAAAAAATCAATATTTTACCGAATTTTTATTTTTATCGATGATTGTAATTCGGTGATATTTCTTTTCGGGCAACTATCTTTTCCGGTAATTCTCCTTCGGTCAATTGTTTTTGGACAATTTTACTAAATCCTTTGTTGACTATGAATAGACACTTCTCAATCAGGGACACCGAGTTTTATAAATCAGATATGGGTAAATTTAACAGATTTCCAGATTGTTACATTTGTTGAATTTATTACCTTTTTATACGTATGTAACATACCTACAAACTATAACAAAAGTAGGAAAATGAAAATACCATATCAATTTATGTCATTTTTGCAATTCTATTGAGTTTAATTGGAGTTACGCAGAAATAAATCTTTTTAATGCAGATACCAGTTTTTGAAAATATAATTATACCCATTACAATCGTATAAGGGCAGGCAGTAAAACAGACAGAGACCTCTATTTTATATAGAGATACGAAATGAATGAAGCTAAAAATTGCCGAGAAGAGCTACTAGGAGGAATATTCGAGATTAGGGTTTTGATCGACAAATTTATCCGTCAAAACTAAACATTCTTGAAAATAAACATAATACATACACAACGAGCTTTTAAATCACATAGCACATGTCATATACTTAGCCAGCTAAACTGATTGACAATGAGCCATAGTGCATATGAAAACAGTTCTTAGATATGAGCATAGTAGTGAATGATTTAAAAGTACAAAAGCACAATTGATTTGATTTAACTATCTAAGAATGGAAGAGGAAACTTAGAACTATTGAAATTGAACAAAAAAGAAGAACTTTTCACAGTTTTTCAGCGACATCTTGCCTTGCGGTGGATGGGATATAAATATGTCGATTAAAGTTGCTAAACTGATTAGTTTTGATGCCGAATAATCTGAATAATGCTTGTGCTCGCATGCACCCGAGCACCCATGCATTCGGCCCATTCGGAATAAAAGACGTTTTACCAATCAATAAAAAGTTTTACCAATGAAAAGGAACTCCGAGAAAATAATAAAAGATGTTTATTTGAAAATAGCCACTGCGTTAGAATCCAAACGTAAAATTGCTTTTCCTGCTCTATAAGTTGGGGTTATTAGGTTATCAATTCGGCCGTTTTAACTGCAAAACAAGCACCTCCTTGGTTTTGCAGGGTCCAGTTTTGTTGTTGCTGCGAGATTTTGCTGCGATGTTTTGCTGCGATGTTTTGCATCTGCTAGATTCTTGCATTCAGATTCGCTCGGAATGGCCAAAATGAAACACGAATATTTGATTGAGATATAAACATTGACAGTTGTTTCATATTTTTTTAAGTGGACTTAATTTTTCTCTTTATGTATTAGCATTGTTGAGGTTTTTGAAAATGTTCGAGGTTTTGTTACTCTTTCTGATGATAATGGACTATTTTATTGTGCGTATTTGGTTTGGTAACTTTCTCGGTAACTTTTTTGACCCTGATCGTTTCAATACATAATATTGTTTTTTAATTATTATTTTATTATATGTATAACTGATTATTATCTGTATCAAATAAAGATATTTATAAAGTAATCCAATTCTCATTACGAATGGTATCACAGGATAAGGATTGTTTTGAATGGTACCAAAAAGCCTTTTTTATATTTTTGTGGACTACATAGACACTTCTTAATAAAAGGTTTGTATTTCACTACTGAAAATAAAAAAGCTGTTTTTTTCTTAAAAATGTCATTGCGTTAAAATCCAAACGGAACCAGCATTAACAACATTTCCCGCTCTATAAGCCGATTATTATTATCGATTATATTTTCAATCTGACGTTAAGTTATGAGCAAATGCAAGACTAAGATCAAGATCCCCTTGGTCTTGCAGTCTAATAAGTGCCTTGGTCTTGCAGGGCCAAGTCTTGATATTAGCCTCGCTTTTGCATTCAGATTCCAAAGAGAAAGAACCAAAACGCAGGGCGAATCTTTGATAGATATTATAAACTTTAACGTATTTTTTAGTGCTGGGCTTAATTTTTCTTTTTAGTTATTAGGATCGTTCTTAAAATGATTTATAATGATTATATCGATGTTTGTTATTCTTTCTGATGATAATGGTCTATCTTATTGTATGTGATAACTTTTTTGACACTGATTGCTTCCATACATAATATCACTTAACTAACAACTAACTAATAGTGTGTAGTAAAATAACAATACTTATAAATTAATTCAATTTTATAAACAACAACCATTTACTCCATTTATGTTTTATGTATTCTATAGCTGGTATTTCAATATATCTGTTACAATGAACAACCTTAGCTGCATACGAAATAAGAAGCTTAGATTTTTCAAATACCTACAGGAGATTGAAAACGCCGCGTATATTGAAACTTTTTATCATATAAAATATACAAGGCGAATCTTAAATAAGTACAAATATTTTTAGGGGTAGTATATATCGACTCAAGAAACACGTCTCTGTGGTGTTTTGATGTGATATTTTTGTGAAAAAAATTGAAAATTATTTGATTTTGAAATAAAAAAAAACATAATACATACATAATAGATTAAATTTAGATATAGGAAAAAAACGAACAAAAGCGGTGCTTTTTAAAATTTAAGCAAAAAACGTATTTTCTTTTGACTGAAAAACGACAAAGAGAAAATATATTTCCTTTATCGAGATCTACCGACCCTGAAATGCACTTATTTAATACTCACCCGCTATAGTAAATACGCATGTATTATGAACAACATTTCTACAAGTATGTATATAAACATTATATGGAAAAGTATACGTAATATTTATGAAAATTTAAATGTAAACACATAAATAAATATACGATGCCAATGGCCACAAAACATCTCTGTATAGTGCCAAGAAATCTTTGTCAGTAATACATCTTCGTTTCTTTCTTCAGTGTCATTCTATTGTTCCAATTTCTTAAGTGGATCTTATTAAATAGAGTTAGAAAAAAATAGAAACAAAATCGGGAAAGTTCGTTTTTCCGTAATATCCTCGAAAGTAATCGGATTTTTTTCGATTTGAAAAATGACTTTAGAGGGAGCACGGCGCAAGTTTTCTCTAATTTAACCGACCACGTATCTCTTAGATACCCTTGCTGTTCATTCCTATCTTTTGGACATACTGTATATACCACTTACAGTTATTGTTCACTTACTACTTTTATATAGCAATATCATTTCGAAATTTAGTTCACAGTTCGAGGTTAGATTCAATCTGAAATAACAATTGAAAGTCGCCCCACACTATTATATCTCATATCATATTATTATCAACTTATGCTTTATTTTCTATAAATTATACTCACATGCTATACCCTTATGTATACAGGGTGTGAAAGAATGGTGTACCAAACTTCAGTTGGTTCAATGTTACTACAGATAAATATAAAATAACAAGTTTCTATGAACATATTATGCCTTAAGATTCGTCCTGATGAAAATTATATTAATAAATAATATTTTGTTTATTTTTAAGAATTGGTAAACCACTTTCTTTGAAATTTAGCTCGAAATTTAGTATTCTTACACAAATGTTAAAGCCAAACTGAATGACAATATACTGTAAAAGTCCGTAACAGTTCTAAAAGGGTACTGATACATTTGATAATGATAAGGAATCGTAAAAATATTATTTTCTGCCCCCCTTTCTTGAGTTATAACTCATCATACAGTCCTAGGGCTTTGACAAAATCCAGTACTTGACACCGTATTAGAGAGTATGTTTCAAATACCTAGAGGAGATTGAAAACGCCGCGTATATTAAAACACACTTTTTATTCCAAGTTTATGGCACGTTCTCCAAGTTTATGACACGAATGGTTGTCGTCTTGACGCACTCAGTGATGAGGTGTTCTGGTGTCTTTTCAAAAAAAATCGCCGATTTTTCTTAGCTTCAACCTACTAAAAACACCGTCTCAATCTGAATAATGTTCTTACTTAAGTCCTGGGGAACTTCTTCGAGTGTCTTAGAGCGTTGCAGGATTCCCATTCCAGGTTAAGGATGGAGTCTTCGTAAAAATGTAGATTTTAAATTTTTACACCCTGTAGACATTAAATTGTTTACTATGTTACTGTTATTCTTTTGTTTTAAGGTAGTAGGTAGAATAAAATAATACTTTATGTTCTTAGTTCTTCATATTTTAATTCTAAAATTAATAATTCAAATTCGTTATCCAAAAAATACTAATTTTTAAGTACTTACTTCCTTTCGGATGTAGATATTTAAAAATTAAAAATCACCCTCTTTTTAATAAAATACCTTAACACAAAGGAAGTTTTATTGCCCACTGTATTAAAAATTTAGAAATAGAAACTAGCATGCGATGATGCATACTAATAATACAATTATGATAATTACTTCTATATTTATATTGTTTTACATTATTATTCTGTGAAGGATGTAACACACGCTGTCTATAAATACTGTGTAGAATATACACAGTACGCCAGAATTACACTTGTACGGGGTGTTCCAAATTCGAACCTTTTTAGTGGGATTTTGGAAACTATAAGTCATTAATGGAGGCAAAGTTGCGCAATTTCATGCGGATCAAAATGACACTTTAAAAATTTAATCTACGACAATGTCATTATGACACATTTAACATTGTCATTTAGTGCTATTATGAATTCATAATAACACGCAGATTTTAAAATAAGAAACAAGCAAAAAAAGGTACCTAAATACGTTTATTTAATGTTATTTATTGTAAATATTAATTATTAATATATCAGTACAATTGGTTAAATTAATTCCAGACGATGACACGTGAGTTGAATTTTTAGAAAGTAAATTTATTTCCTGAGTGCTTGAACTTGTTGAAGACCCATCATTGCCAGAAATGTTACCCAAAATATTACATGACACTTTTTTCTTATTTTCTTTGGAATTTTCTATATAGCTCTCTGCCACTGTATTAGAGCGCCAACCCTCATGTCTTTTAACAGTTAATAAATACCACTCCTGAATCTGCAAGCAACGACGCAGACGATCTACGGAAACAATGTTCAGTGTATTGCTGTGGATTTGGAAGACTTAGGAACAATGCTATTTTAAACGGCATTTTCCCTAAAGTATTAATGCCAACGGGTTGCTTAATACATTTTCCATTTCTGTACCCCACAAAAAATCTAGTATGCTCTGTGTTGCTTGGCCGCAGAGCTATATATCTTCGAACCATTTCCACCATATTTATTCCTTCAACATTCCCTTTCGTTATAAAAAAATCTCGTGATATCTTTGTTTTCGTAAATGGAATAATGACATGAATGTTCTTCATCTTTAACATTTTGCAGCTGCAGATTTGTCAACTCCATACGCCGGCAGGCTCCCGCAAGTCTCACTATCAATGAAACTTTTGTCAGCAAATAAGTTTTATCATCGGCTTCCAACAAAAAACGAGTTATGTCTTCTTTTCTTAAAATTCTCGATTTTTTTGACCGAAATCCTTCCGATTTTTTTTTAGAAATGCAATTAAATGGACGTACTTACTAATATTTGTATTTTTCTTCACTGATATAACTGAACATAGCATGAAATAATCCTACCCAAAGTGATGAAGCCTTCCTATGTTTTGAAAGATGTTTAAAATATACCAGGAGAACCTTTTCGTTACTACTATTCTTGATTCCTTTCCCTTTACACCAATCTTCAAGTTTTACATAGGCTTGCTCGTACGTTTGTCTTGATTTTGCGGGAAGTAGGGAATCGACGTTTTGCGCAATGCCTTCAATATCCGACACAAAATATATATGAAATATATTTTGTCCTAGTGGGCCTTTTTTATGATTTTTTGGCAATTTGTAGCTAAATTATTTGATTTTTAGTATATCTTTCTAAATTAAAAAGAAAGTTGCCATCTGTCAATTAAACGAGGGGAAACAAAATATTGATATTTTGGTGAAAGTTTGCAACACCTTGTGGAGTACGTTAACAGAGAGCAAGGAATTTAAAAATCACTCATCATCTAGGTGTATCTGTCCTCAATAGTCTAATTTTTGGATTCATCTCAATAGCTTTATTTTTTTTTGATATTCTTTTGAAGAAGACACTAAATTTTTTTCGTATTTTTTACATTAAAACAATGCCCTTGCTCTCTTGGTCCTAGTCAACAAACCTATAAAATAGTGTTTATGATTTATGTAATGTCACTGTCTTTATATTATTGTCTGTTAGGCTCTCGCAGATATGGTTTTAAGTTCAAAAGTTGATCTCTACCGTGATCAATTAAATCAGCAATAGCCGCTACTTCAGAACTTATCCACTACTATCATCTCTACTAGAGTAAACGTCAATAAACAATAATAATATGACTTTTCAATGACAGTGACATTGCAAAAACAGTAAATACGATTTTATTAGTGTGGTGATGAGGATCCAAAATCAATGCTAAAATTGCTGTAAATCGTTACTGTTTTATTCAAAAGCGAATATTTCCAATAAAAATAAAGCTATTGGGATGAATGAAAAAGCAAACTCTCGAGAAAAGATAAAATGATTTTTAAAATTCTTGCTTTATTAATATATTCCACAGGGTGTTTCAAACTTTCACCAAAATATCAACATTTTGTTTTCCCTCGTATAATTGACAGATGGAAACTTTCATTTTTAATTTAGAAAGGGATACTAAAAATCAAATAATCTACAAATTTCTTAAAAAACCATGAATGTCGGCTCACTAGAATAAAATATATTAAACTTTAAAATACATCAAAATTTGTATTGTATTTTGTGTATTTAAATTTAAATTGCTTTACTTCCCACTCTGTATTTGTTGTATAATAATAATAATAAACAAATACTGACATTTTAGTAGAATGACTCCCACCAAATGGAACATTTTGAAACAAAATTCCTTTTGAGTCCCACTTGCGTATCTTTTTAATTAGTTCAAGTATAAACACTTGCATGAAAATTATGCGTTTCCTAACTAGTAATATTAACAATAAATACACTCTTCTTTGCAGAGTCTTAGTGGCAGATAGCCACTGTTCATGCCCGAGAAACAGGACGGCGCGGGGGGCGGCTTGACGGCAGGCCCGCCCCTGATGGCTTTTCCCGGCACCCCGTTCGGTGCCTTCCCGCCGGGCCCCCCAGGGCCGCCGCCTCCAGATCGGTTCGCTTGGCCCCATCAGCCGCCGCAAGCCTTTCATCCACCACCAAGGTAAGTTTATTGAGATTCTGTAGTTTGTTTTGATCGTCCACAATATGTCAAAGCTAAAGTTAAGACTAACCAGGACAATTTAAATATTATTTGGCGCTATTCAACAGTCGCGACCCAAAGCTTTTGATAATTGAAATGTCGCCAAATATATTGTTTATTCAAATTTATTATTATTTTCTCTTAATTTTATAAATAAAACACAGTGTGTTGCATATAAGAAACTTTATTTTATAAGTGGACATGTATGAAATACCTATGGAACATTGGAAACCGACTTTATGCCACGATGGTTTTTGCAGTTCATAGTTCACACAGCTTAAGTTTTTTTAAAGCCACTTTTTCACAATTACCAGGTGTTTGAGTAAATAAAATTTAAATTAAACGTACAAGATAGCAATAATTACTTTGAGCATGGACGTTTTAAACACTTTTCGGTATCTTTTCAATGCAGGCAGTTTACATTTTGAAAGATTTTATAATTTTTGAAGATTCTGACTTTGACAAGAGAAATTCTTTCTGTTCTTGTTAACGGTTGTTCTTCAAACCCATCCCAAAACAATTATACGTTTTAGCGGGAAGCCGAGGATTCCAAACTAAATTTATTTCCTTTGTCTATGAGACTAACTAAAGCTTAAAAATTAAGTTATTTCTTTATCATTATTATCAAAAATTGATTTATTTTTTAAAAAAATTTTGAGACACAGGATTTTTTTCTGTATTTACATTCCTCAGTGTCGTATACATATAGAGTTAAGCCGTAACCAAGGTAAAATCAGAGATTAAGGAATTATACCGTGGGAAAATTTGCGGTGGAGAGGCAGTTCTAAAAATGTTTCTCAACTATACAGGAAAATGTAAAAGAAAATGAACGATTTTCATCAACTTTTGCAGAGAAATAAATAATGCGATTTTCATTACAATAAAATGCCGATACCACTAAATAGGTAGTCGGAATCAACTCGTATCTACTCAATTATTTTGAACAGAAAGAGATGATGACGGGCCCCTTTTGATATTAAACTGCGTTAGACAGGAACAAATTGAAATTGTTGCTGAAAATTGAAATTGTTGCTGAAATTGAAAGGTTTTGCGATTTTTATTTAAAATAAAAATAGATCTTACAGGGTATTTTTACTACAGGGTATATAATTAACTGTATGTTTTTCAGCTTTAGTTCAGAAACAACCCCAACTGATAATTATTTAATAACAAAAATATAGATACGCTATTGAAACAACTCAAATTGTCGTTTCCTAATTATTTTTGACAAATAGTAAGTGCGAAAATGCAACAATAAATACATACGGATTTTAATCTAAACGAATTCCATATTTTTTTCAAAATTTATCTTATTTTTATGTTACCAAATAGCAATGAGTAGTTTAGTACTCGTAACACTAATAGTGAGAAGTTATTGCATTGTTTTTCATGTTTTTTTTTGGTTGGTAACGATCACAAGCTGCACAAGGAACTATTTTTGGAGCCTCCCTCTAAGATTCACAATATTCCCACTCTAATTAAAATTCAGACGCAATGTCTTTCAAAATCTCTATACACTTTACATAAAACCAATTAAACATAAAGAAATTACAAAACAAACCTACAGGTAAGCCCAATAATCAAATAAATTTCAATTGTGCCAAGTGGAACAAAAAAAGACTGTAAAAAATTAAGTACCCTGTAAATCAATGAATATACAGGGTGGTCCGAATTGTATTCCGGAAACTTCGGCAGCATATTCTGCGGATAAAAATTAGTGAAAAATTCATATAAATGTATGTACTAATATGCTTAGTTTCGAAGATACAGGGTGTAGAAGTTTTATTTTTATTTCGATTTTTTCTAATTCATTTCTGAAGTAACGTCAATATTTGGATGAAAATTTAGAGGGCGCCACCTACATATTTTTTAACTGGTTTGAAGAGTAATAACTTTTTGTCCGTAACTGTATAAAACTGCTGATTTAAAAATACATTTACGACGTTTTTTACGTAAAAAAGGTCTCTTGATAAAAATCGCTACATGCTACATGTTCTCGAGATAATTGAAATCGAAATTATCAATACCTGTCATCATGGACATAAACCTGTTGACTGAATAGTTATTAGACTGAAATCATAAATTTGAATTGTTTTTATGCCAAAGGTTCAACAGAAACTGTTTTATCATAATTTTTTCAAGGCAAAATTTATGATTGAAAATTTATTATTTTAGTCAAATGATTACCCACTCAACGTTATTTTATGTTAGTAATGACATGTATTGACTATTTCAATTCTAAATATCTTGAGAACGGTTGCTTGTAGCGATTTTTACCAAGAGACATTTTTTACGTAAAAAGTTACGTAAATGTAATTAATGTATATTTTTTTCTCACAGTAGTTTTATACAGGTACGGACGAAGCCTTATTACTCTTCAAAACACTTAAAACACATGTAGGTGGCACCCCCCACAAATAGGAGTCATATTGACATCAAAATCAAATTTCTCATGTTAAAAAACTACCTGACACAAATTTTCATCCAGATATTGACGTTACTTCAGAAATATTTTGAAAAATATCGAAATAAAAATGAAACTTCTTCACCCTGTATCTCCCAAAGAAATAAAAATGAAACTTCTTCACCCTGTATCTCCCAAACTAAGCGTTTTTGGACATACATTTATACGAACTCTTTTACTTATTTTTCTTTGCAAGATATGCTGCCGAAGTTTCCGGAATACAGTTCGGACCACCCTGTATATTGTAAATAAAAAGGATTGGAGTGAATCCAGAATATAAAAAATCTGATAGGAAACTTTTCTAGAATAGCTGGTTACCCTGTATATAAATGTATTTCCCTGATTAATTAATTTGTATATTTTGTATATTTATTTGTATTCGTGTTTGGTTGGAAAATTTGTAGTTCCCTGTGTGTTTGTAGTTCCCTGTGTGTTTGTAGTTCCCTGTCTGATGTTCGTCAAAAATGAATGAGCGAGACTATTTTAAGCGACTTTTATGCTTTCCACCGAGTCAATGAATGAAACAATCAAAGCAAAACGTTTAGATTATCAACGGATCTCGGTTTGTTTGGCTTAATTGAAGCAGAACATGAAAAACAAACAGGCTGACGACTCTGTTAAAACACAGTCTTCGGTTTAATTAATAAATGAAGAACATGATTATTAGGATTATTTTAACTTTATTTATTTTTCCATATAATGAAATATTCGGAAACTTATATCGCATACCTATTTTAATATTATTTTTTATGTGCAGGATAATTCAAACCTATTTAAAATACATTAAAATTATATAGTTTTTGAAATGAATTGCTAATGCAAAATTATAAGTCGCAATATAATTATAATGCAAAATTATAAGTCGCAATAATGCTTTTTATAAACTGGAACTACTGTAAAATAGTGTCTGTTACTAAAACAAACCAGATGTATTTTCCCTCTAATAATATGTAACACCCTGTAGTTCATATAAAAAATAAACACAAATTTTGTCCAATTTTATGTTTTGTCGAGCACTGTTTTGTTGTGTATGTATACGTTTATGTCAAATCCGTCTTTAAAATTTTAAATGTTCTGTTTTTAAAAACAAAATTTGATAATTTATAAATTAACTTGATAATTAACATTTTAGAGTCCATTTTACTAGTCCAAAAAGTAGCAAAATAAGCGTTCGGCATTTAGCTTTTTATGTAAAACTGGCTAGGTATTTTTACACGAATGAAGAAGGAAATTAAAGATAAAGGATTATACCTGTGATTATAATATATCCGTATTGTAGCACATTTTTAGACAACTTCTTTATTTTTAAAATTTTGAGGGTCAAACATCAACAAACTATTCCTTATGTTTGGACTAAATTTTCTCGAAAATAAAGACATAATTTAAAATTCCGTTACAATACGGAAATAGATTGAAGTTTTGTGATTAGTGATATATAATTTATATGGTTTTGTAACAAATTACTCGCTATTTTATGGCAAATGCTGAAGCTCTGCAAACCTTAATCAAGCATTAATCAAAGCACGAGTGTTTGGAATTTTGGGTGTGGCTTGACACGACAGGATCGGGCTAAGCCTTAGGCAGATTTCTGAAATATAATATATATTTCCTTCGGCCACACACCCGCTTTACCCGACCCCTAAGAGCGACCCAAACAATACAGCGTAGTAGACTCTTAATAATTAAGAGTAGTAATAAATTGTAGTAGAGTAAAATTATTTTACTGTACTCTTTTTCACAACACCGTTTTACAGTTATAATTTTTTGATAACGTAACGTTTGTTTGGCTTTTGATTGATAATTAACGTTATCAATCTTCTGTCAAATTGTATATTTATACAGGTTGTCGGTATATTATACAGGGTGTAAATTAATAAATGAGAAAAAAATCAAGAAACGTTTGCCTGTTATAAAATAAGGGAGGAAAATATAGAATTTTTTGATATGATGGTTTCTTACAAAATTATTTGGTTGTACAGAGTGGACCGACGCAAGAGGGAGGTGGCATGGAGATACTACCCCCCTAAAATCTATAAATTGGGTTAAATATTAGCCTTTTGGGTTAAAAATGGCGCCCTAAAAACATATTCTACATTACTTTTTATTTGGGCCCTCCTAAAATAAATTCCTGTATCCCCCCCTGATATCGAATTATTTAGAAAATTGATGTTCCAAGTCACGTGACAATATCAATTTTTCAAATAAATGCGATATATCTTTGGTTTTTGGATCTTACAAGCTCTTAAACTCCTTTATAAAAAATCCAGTGCCGTATTAAAAAAAAACAGTGTGCGCACTATGCGCGCATATTTGAAGTGAAACTTCTTACTAGCAGCTATTAAATTGAAGGATTTGAAGGACATATAAATAATAATTCTAATTCTAAGCTGGCAACTAAGCTAGATGCCATACCGTTATTCAGAACCTACAAATCTATCGATGGAAATATACATAAAAAATACTTCATAGCCGACAGTTTATTATAGTGATTTTCTTA